CGGAGTGACTTCAAAAACCTGGAAAAGGTTTGGAAGCATGCTAACAGTCCGCAGCATCGGAAAATTGTGATTTTCGATATCTGCGTTGGTTCACAACTGCTGTATTGTTTGCATACGGGCTGGCTGAACAAGGCAAAGCTCAGGAAACTGGATGGCTTTCATGCAAGATGTCTGCGAAAAATCCTTAGCATTCCGCATCCCTTCATCAGCAGGGTGTCGAATTTTTTTTTTATCGAATTGTGACGTGTTCAAGCAGGGCAAGTGTCGGCCATATTCGAAAACATTGACCTGCCGGCAGCTGATGCTTTTCCACAAGGTGATGACGCTTCCTCCCGATGATGCCAAGCGAACATGTATGTTTGAGGCTGATTCTCTGATTTTGCTACAGCAATCTACAGCATAAACAGTGTAGACGACGTGGCCGCCCCAGAAACATATGGGGTCCTCAAGTGTACAACATGGCGATTCGCGTTGCAAGCAATGTTGATAGTTTGGAAAGCATAGGCTCGTTATCACCTAAGGTGTGGCGGCACAGAGTTGATCAATTCTTTATGTTTCGTGGGTAAATATGCTTACGCTTTCGTGCCCATGTGTCACTGTACACGAGGCTTTTTTGACTTGACTTGACTTGGAAAGATCCCGTTCAAATTGTGTTTTGTGATGATGTGCTGGGCGGACAGCAGGGCAAAAGGGGGGGTTGGAGGACAGCTTCCAGCTGCCTGTGTACAGGTGCGTCATGTCACGACAACGGCACATTGCAGGAGGAACCGTTCGAAGAACCACGTTCAAAAAACCGCCCAGGAAGCGCTCGGGAAAATACCCTTCAAATCTTCTCGCAAAATCATTCGGGAACCCACGCGGGCACCATTCGGAAACCACAGGGGAAGGATTTAGCCACATCATTCGAATACAAAGCTCGTACTCGAATGGGGAGACGGGCTAAATTAAAGTCTCTCCCAAGTGGCTTCCGAGTGGTTCTCGATCCGCGCAGCCCCAGGCGGTTCCCGAATGGTTCCAAGTGAGCGGTGCCCGACGTCGGCATTTGTCCGGAGATTTCCTCCCCCTAGCTTAACTCTTTATCTGTGGATTTTGCCAGGAATTCCCCCCACGAGTCTAATTCAGTCCATAAACCATAGACTTTGCCGGGATTCCGGCGGTATTCGACCGGCACTTTTGCCATCGCTGCCATTCGCTGCCCACAGGTCCGACCTTCGTATGTAAACGATTTTCCTAAGTCGTACAATGATTTGCTGAACATTGTTTGGAATGCCGCCCCTAATCCCTTTGACTGTCCAGACGCTGTCGCGGTTTTTCGTGCGGCTCGGAATCCGTTTTTTTTGTTTTGTTTTTCTCGCACCTTTTTGAGCCGAATCCACGCGGTCCCTGTGCGGAGCCCGAGTCCAAAGCTCACGGCCGGCTGGCCACGCGGGGTCGGAAAAGTCCACAACAAGCGGCCGGCTGGCCTTGCAGGCCGGGCTAAGGATGAGGCCCTCCACCCCCGCGGAGGGGCCGGCCGTCTGGCCCGTAATTAGCGCTCTTCGGCGAGAAGATGGCTGAGGGCTGGGATGGGGCCGGTGGCACGATGATCGCGTGATCAATTCCACCGTGTTGTCCGCCATGCCACGGCCACGTAGTGGACCTCGTGGTCGACACGTCCAATGAACCGACTAATTGACTACTTGCGTAAACCGATGGCATCTGCATTTTCGTGATGTTGTGTCGCATGACGCAGCTTCTTCCAACCAGCCTTTTCTTGTTTCAGACGTGCGCAGCGTCGTGTGCAGCATTTGCGGGTTTCCCCCCTGAGGGGCGTTCCCCCCACGTTGATCACGGCGAGGGTGCTTTCACTCTGCCTGAACTACAAACAGCACTGCAGCATTGCGCTTTGCACCAAGTACCTGGTTGTGATTAGATCCCCTCTAAAGCATTGTCCACCAACATCCCTTGATGGCAAGAGGCGCTCCGTTTCAATATTGAACGCAAACGCTTGTTTCCGGTCCAAGTGTCTTTTTTCACTTTCTGGAACTGTGCCGCCGTTACTGTTGCATGCCAACCATGTGCAAACATAGTTTTTTTTCTCTCGCCTTTTTACGCCTGCATTTTGGGAATCCGGTCGAAGGGAAAGGCGAGCCCTAAGCAGGGGCAGCCGTTGGCAGGCGCCTACAGCGGCCGGGTTGGGAGGCGACTGGCCAAGACGGGGAGTTCCCCACGGGCGTTGGCCAGCAGCTCCAGTAGGTCAGGCATGGCTTCATCGCCGTTCACCTCCCTGCAGGGAGCTCGTGTATGCCCGCTGGGTTGCGACTGCGGGCAGCGCCGCGCATCGCGCGACCCAGGCCGCTTGTGCAGCCGGACGGAGGTGGGCTGGCACGGCGACTGCCCGCTGCCGGGCGAGCAGGCGCAAGAAGGTTGCAGCCTCAGCGCCAAAACGTCCGCCTACCTCGATGTCGATGACAACAAGGCGGCAGCGGGGCGCACGTGTCAGTTCAGGGTACGTGTCGCGTCTTTTGCGCCGTGCGACGTTGTTCGCAGCCCATCCGGCTGTGTGTCAGCTCGGGGGTGCGGCTCACCAGACCGCGTCACGGGCGAGACTATGGAGGCATCACGGGCGAGCTCTGACCCATGCCAAAAAGACAGGCCATTGGCAACGACCTCATTGCGCCGTGCATCGGCGACAGGGACATCAATGTTCATGTCAGGCACACGGACGTTCCGCGAGACCCGTGCTCCGGCACACCCTGGCAACTGCCCGCTCAAGTGGCAGCGCTCGAGAGGCGAGCACGCCAGTTGTGGCGCAGGCGGTGCGGTGGTCTCCGAGTGCGTCAAGGCGCGCGTGGCAACCGCAGAGGCGTGGCGCCAGCGGCAGCGGCAGCCGGAGGCGGCGGAGAAGGAGCACACG